TCATAGGAGTCTCCAGGACCTGGCACAGCTGGTGTCAGCCTGGGCAGCGGCAACCTGACGGTCAAGCGCTCAGAGTGAGTCATCTGTCCCACTGTTGGAACGAACCGCTCTCCCTCTCCACCGCTGGAAACCGGTGGTTCCGTGGCACCTTCTGTCAGTGTCCTCCTGCCTCTGATTACTCATCTGTCTCGGTCCAAATGAGTTCTGAAACTGTTTCAGCTGGCCATCCCTAACACGAGGTAATGTCATGAGAGTGCTCCCGTCCTGTCCTGTAGTGCTCCGGCTATGATTGTTTAGGTGCGCTACATCTGCGCCTCTGGCGTGGACTAAAAATACACTTTAAAAATTAAATAGGAGTACAGGTATGCTCGATCCCCAACCCGACACCAACCAGCTGTGGTGGTATAACCCCGGTACTCGGGAGGTGGAGGCAGAGGTTCAGTTTGATGCCTCTCCGTAGTGAGATGAAGGGCAGCCTAAAGTACACGGGACTTTGTATCTTTGAATACAAAGACTTTGAAGATGCTTTCATCTTCAGGGCATTCTGTTCTTAAACTGAGTCTCTACATACCAGAAATGAGAACATGGAAAACCACGACCCTTAAGAGAAAGGAGGACAGGCTTCCGGTTCAGCAACCGTCTTTGATGCCAGCACTCAACAGAAAGGTTATTCATTCCATAATGCTAGAGAGTTATGCTCTGCTCTGTCCTGGCCCAAAGACCTTGAGGACACCTCTCATTACATCATCACGAAATATGTGACACCCCAACTGTCCTTCCAAAGGTCCATCTTCAGGCTGGAAGTGTGGGACATTTCCAAGACATGTTTCCTACCGTATGCATTCATCAACATTGCTGTTCACATAGCCTTTCCCATGCAGGCAATGCCAAAACCACATAGTTTCAGCCTGGAGGGCAAAGTCCAAACCCTCACAACATACCCCAAGACTATCATCCCAGCCATGACCAACACCATCCCACTTCACACCAACTCAAAAGCACGCCAATTCTCGCTACCTTACTTGGGAGCCACTGCTTTCGCATGGAATGTTCCATCCCTGCTTCATCACGGCAGTTCTAACCCTTTGCAGAAAATTTTGCCAGCACGGAAACTTGATTTCAAATGTAGGCATTTATATGCATGCCCTCTCCCTCCTTTAACATTGTAAGTAATAAGGTATAGGATACAGCAAATCGTTCACAGTAGAGGCTCGGTAAATTTAGCAGCTGAACCTCGTGTGTCCACACTGCCGTCTTATGAGGCAGGGAAATACAAAGGGGTCTCCTTGGCGGGCCTCCCCAGCATGGGTCAGTTCGCTGAGCTTTTCCCGATCTGCTCATGGCTGGTTTCATTTTCTCCAGTCTGACTCAGGGGCTTACTGTGCTTGCCGTAGGCGAGTATACGTCACCACCCCGCCAGTGCACAGCTGGAGCTTTTTCCCTTTTTTGCACTTATTTGGTGTGTGTGGTGTGTGTGTGGTGTGTGTGTGTGTGTGTGTGTGTGTGTGTTTGTGTGTGTTTGCCTCTGTGTGTGTTTGTGTTTGTGTTTGTTTGTGTGTGTGTGTGTGTGTGTGGTGTGTGTGTGTTTGTGTTTGTGTGTTTGCCTGTGGTGTGTGTGTGTGTGTGTGTGTGTGTGTGTGTGTGTGTTGAGCATACACAGGCCTTTATGTATATGTGGAAGTCAGAGGATAAGTTACCAATACCTGCCCTCTCCTACCATGTAGGTTCCAGAACCCAGGTCCTCCAGACAGGCAGCAAACGCCTTTATCCACTGGACCATCTTGCTGGCCCAGTTTGTTTGTTTGTTTGTTTGTTTGTTTGTTTTTCCTTTTGAGTCACAAAGTTTTAAAATAATATTAATACACATGGCATTTTCCCCCCTAGAAGACCATGTCCCTGTTACCAGGTAAGGTACCTTAGGTGCAGTTAAGGGAAACAACCCGAAATAAATAGTCAATGTCCCAAGCAGAGGGCATGTGCCTGTCCTATAAAGAGAAAGTGCCAGCTTGACCTCATGTCCCCAGCACCTCCAGTGTGGCAGTCCCAGTGAGCAACCGTGCTTGTGGCTCCTCTGTGTCCTCCCCAGCTACGTAGATGGCTGTGAAGCGTGACTAATTAGGTCCTGCGAGCTGACCTAATGAAACCCAGTGAGCGGGGTCACTGGGGCCACCGAAGCATGAGTCTGCATCTCCCAAGGCCATGTAACAGGATCCGCACCGGCTCTGGAGGGAGGGTCAGGAGACGATCCGGTAGCCAAGGACACTGCTGGGGCTTCGGAATAACAGCGTGAGGTTGTAATCCAGCACCATCCCGGGACATTTAGCTAGGTGATCATTTCATCCATCTTTTATTCATAAACACGGGGACACGTCTTCTTCGGCAGTCTGCTTTGCACTTGTCGGGTCCCGCCTGCATTCTATCAGCCTTTTCCTCCCTGTCACGGAAAATGCACCTGGCATGAGACATCTTGTCACCGTGGATGTCATTGCCTACCCCAGACTGGCACAGGAGGGAATGGTTGCTCCTTAAGCCAGCATGAGCAACTGGCATTTCAGGGCAAGTGTTTGAGGTGCTCTTGGAACCCCCATGAAGGCTGAAGTTGACAGAGATGTGGGACAACCCTGGAACCTGAGGCAGGAGTAGACCTCACGGCCACATGGGCTTGTTTTATTTAAGCCTTGGAGGAGGTTAAAAAGGGTAGACTCATCGTCCTGCTTCTTAAATGTCAGCATTTCAGTGGGAAATCCTTAGCCATGGCAAATCCTTCAAACCTCCCGGGGAGACCCCAACCACAGAGAGAGCCCGCCTCACCTCCACATCTCCTTCCCATGGTGTGCTGACCTCTCCCCCCCCAGCCCTACCTGAGTGGCAGAAATGTCAAGCTTTTCCCAGACATGTCTCAATTCCTTCTGAGGTCTGCATGTTACTCGCCATCCTGTTCCGGGCTCTAGTGTGTCCTTTGATACCAGGGTGGCAGGCGTAGTAATGAATCTCCCGGACCCCTGAGAACCTGTCTGTGAAGTGTTGGTAACAGTAGCAACATGAACTGACATCATTATTGTGATAGTGAAATGAGCATTAGCTGTTTTGTGTGTGTGTGTGTGTGTGTGTGTGTGTGTGTGTGTGTGCGCACACGTGCGCCCCCCCTTTTGCATTTAGTGGGGGAGGGGGGCACCCCAAGGCGCATATGCAGCAGCACAAGTCTGGAGGTCAGAAGGCAACTTTGTAGCGTCTGTTTTCTCTTTCACTTTTGCTTAGGTTCTTGGGGTCATAGTCACATTGCCAGGCTTATGCAGTGAACTCTGTTCACTGAGACATCTCACCCATCCTCCCAGTCTCTTGAGTTTAGCTATGTCCCATTATTTTTTCTAGAGGGAGGGGACATCCGTCTTTACTTCAACTCCAATAAAAACAAAAGAACGCAACATTTTGTACAGTGTATCCTAACACTCAAGTTTCTAGATCAGTAATCTTCAGAGTGTGGTCTGGGAACCCCGGAAGGTCACCAACACTCTGGGAGGGAATCCATATGTATAAAACTATTTTCATCGTAACACTGTGGTGTTATTATCTCCCACTTTCATTCTTTTCTAAGTGTACGAAAAGCCCCGCCGATCTACTATTTTACTTCCACAAACTGCAGTTACACAGAGTCAACCATCGTCCAAAAATACGAAACGGAAGGCTGCAGAGACAAACAATTCGCAGATTTTAAATTGCATGCCGCTCTGAACAGTGTGAGGATATCCTGAGCCATCACGTTTGGTCTCGCCGGGGCTGTGAATCAGCCCTTTGTCCAGCCCGTCTACCTGCGCCTCACTTACTAGCCAGCTCCGTCATCAGACCAACGGGCATGGCATCCCAAATGCTTGTGTTCAAGGATCCCTTAACTTATTAATCTGCCTAAACACAAGAGCAGTGATGTTGGCAGTGTTTGGCTTATGTCTAAGAGAAGGTGTAAATTGTATCCCTTAAGTGAAAAAAAAAAAATGAAAGCTTTTGATTAATGAAAAAAATATACCAAGTTTATTCACACGGGCAAGAACGAATCTTCTACTCATGATATTGTTAAGAATGGAAAAATAGCCGGGCGGTGGTGGCGCACGCCTTTAATCCCAGCACTCGGGAGGCAGAGGCAGGCGGATCTTTGTGAGTTCGAGGCCAGCCTGGGCTACCAAGTGAGTTCCAGGAAAGGCGCAAATCTACACAGAGAAACCCTGTCTCGAAAAACCAAAAAAAAAAAAAAAAGAATGGAAAAATAACCCACGCTGGTTTCGCTGTCACGCTTGAGGCTGCAAAAGGTATGGCCGGGTGGGCAAGATGGCTCAGCTGATTAAAAAAAAAACACTTACCACACAAGCCTGATGACCTGAGTTGGATCCCTGGACTCCACAGGCGAGGGAGAGAACCGACTCCTCACCAGAGGTCATTCTCCAAGCACGTGGCACACTCACACACAGGCACCACACAGAGAGACACATAGCAATAATGAAACTAATTTTAAAACAAGTTACAGCCGCAGAGCCAAGTATGGTGGCATGTGCCTGTAATCTTGAAACAGACAGTGCAGATAAAAGGATCAGAAGTTCAAATCATCCTAGGTAAAGTTTGAGGCAACCCTGGAATCCATGAGACTGTCTCTAAAGAAATCAAGTTATAGCCACGTGTGTAGTACATGTTTAGCTAAGATGGAAAAGGCATTGCCATCTATGGTCTGGTACTATCTGGGAATCCACTGGAGATCTTGGAATGCAGCTCCTAGAGATAAGGGGGGGGGGGTTGGGAGGAATTCAGTGGAATTTCCTAGAGGCTACTAGATATACGATGATGTCATCACTTCGTCCTTAATGGAACATGCGTTCATACACTCCTGCCTTTTACATCCCTCGGTTATCATTTTGGACGTGTTCATAGCAGTTGCCGTGACCCGCCTCTTCTCTTTGGGACCCACCCACAAGTTAGTCCTACAGCTGCTCTCTGTCTTTTGTCCTGTGCTGCAGGCTGTCCGGGTCCGAGTTCCCCGCGGAGGACTGGCTATGGAACTATGAGAAGCAGGGCCACCGGCCCTCGGTGATGAGGAGGGTCAAGCGCTTCCTGAGTACCCACGAGCACCCCGGCAGCCCCAGGAGGAGGACTTTCGGCAGGCAGGCCAGCGACAGCTCCATGTTCTTCCCCCCGAGCCCAGCTCGGGATCTGCTGGACGTGCCCTCCCGAAACCCCCAGCGAGCCTCACCCACCCGGAAGCAACCCCAATCCCGAGAGGGCAGCCCTAAACTGCATTCCAGCATGGGAGAACTGTCCACCATCAGGGAGACCAGCCGCACCAGCACCTTGCAGAGCCTGACCCCGCAGTCCAGTGTGAGGGCCTCCCCTACCAAAATGCCCCGGGTCCCCGAGGTCCTGATCACAGCGGCTGAAGCCCCCGGGACCTCGTCAGACAGCCATCACCAAGACTCTGCTACCTCCATCCTGAGCCTCGAGTTCACTGGGGTGCAGCCAAGCAGGACTAAACGGCAGGTAGACCTCTCAGGGAAGGCGACGCCACCCGGGGACCCCAGGCCCCAGACTGTTTCAACCAGTACCGAAAGAGACTTGTTCAAGTTTGAGGAAGACCTGGATGATGACAGATTCCCACAAAGGTGGAGCCTTCCGGAGTTACGGGACTCGCGGCACACCTCCCTGGGAAACTTAGGTCCAGATCCTGTGAACCCCAGGCCTGCCCTCTTACTTGACACAGAAACATCCTCAGAGACCAGCGTCACCCATCCTGGGGCTGGTCCTAGGGTCTCTCCTGATGTCCTGTTCTTAATGGAAAGCTTGGACACGAAAGAAACCGACATCCTGGAGTTTAACAGTGAGCACCCTGAAGAATCCCCTAAGGGAATGCCACAGCGCCCCAGGACCTGGTTCTAGCTCACCAGCCCGGGGACACCCCTCCAGGAGCTGGCCAGTGTTTAGCAACATGATCCTACTGTACAAGCTACTTAGAACTCTGAAGGGCATTATGATCCTGCAAACCTCGAACACAACCACATCGTCTAGCTAGCGCAAAGGGGCTTTCACGCAAGTTGTGTGGCCCAAAATGAATTCTCATAACCAAATAAGGGATCCCATATAAATGTACATGGCTTATACATCCATACATGATTAGCTTTGGAAAGGACCATACAGATCATAGTCCAATCCCCTAGAAGCAAAGGCCCAGACACAAAGGGTCCCGTTTCTTTCCTGTTTCCTCCCATACCTCTCTTCCTTTAGCCATAGAGACAAGGCTAGACCATGCCATGCCCAGAGGCCCTTCCACTTATAGTTATTTAACTGGATCTTCCTGACCACCTCACTCCCGCTTCCGATAACTATTATTAGCATCTTTCCCTAACTCTTGAACTTCCTCTGTGTCGGAAAGCTCCCTTTCTCTTCAATTAACTATGTCTACCATCTGGTCTTCCTTTTCCTTCTCTTCCTCTTTATTCTCATACATCTTTCCTCCGCCCTTTTCCCCGGTCTAGCTCCTCCAGTGACTCTAATCTGTCCCTCTTTCCAGGTTATAATAGCTTCCCTTTCCAACTCTGTTGCTTACTTCCTGTCATGGTGTTCACACTATGAGACACTGGTAATGACCGGTACAGGAATCTAACACACCCAACCCCCCATGCTTCCAGCCTTGCTGTAAGAGGTGCATGTGTGCTGACGGTATCCACCATCTCAAACCTGCCGCTTCCGCTCCTTCATGTTGGACTCCAGAGAAGACCGAATCAAAGAGGATATGAGATCCGCACAGCCAAGGGCTACCCCACCAAAGGATGACATGGTCAGAGAAGACTGATTCTAAGAGGGTATGAAATCCACACAGCCAAAGGCTACCCCACCAAAGGATGACATGGTTTGGATCTACTGAACTCATACACAGTCTTAAGCAAAAACACTACAATTGTGTCACAGCGTGGGACCAGTAGGAGATTGGAGCAGTGTGGATACTATAGGGTCCATGGCCGCACGATGACAACAGACTCTTGCCAACTTCCTTTCAGAAGCTCTTAGGTTATGTTTTGCAAGCTCCCAGCTTTGAAAGGGCTCTGCCTTTCCGAGTGCCATCTTTTCTACCTGTCCTGTAACGAAGCTTGACATGTGGCTTCAGAAGCAAGAAACTCTAACAGCGACCACGGGTTTGCTGTCTCGGTGCCCCATGCAGCCAGATCTGAAGTCCACATGAGAGTTCACAATCCTTCAAGGAGTCCTATGAGACTGACAGACCATCAGCTCCACTTTAAAGATGAAAACAGAGGCGTTTCCTGAGCTCACCTAGCCAGGCTTAGCTGCTCAAGAACCCCACACGCCCTCGATGTGCCACAGGAGGGCCTTGAATCTGCTAATGATTTGCACCAAATTCTGGAGGATGCTTCAAGGCGGCTAATCACAGGTTTATGCCAAACCTCCTCAGCCTTGGGGACATCTCTGGATCCTCCCAAAACAGTTTTCAGTCACAGAGGTGAGCAGCTTTTTGTCTCTGGGGGCCAATGGCAAGAGCCATGGTCCTCTCCCGGCCGTTACAGAAGCCGGCAGGAACGTCTTATTCCTTCCCCCACTACAGAGTCCTGATGTGCTGTGTTCTAGTGACCACATTCACACAAAAGCTCAAATCTCAGTGGGCCTCTGAAGGGGCAAAAAGCAATGACCCCTACCTTAACAGGCTTTTCTTGAAGGACTAACATGGTATGTTATTAGAGGAGATGCTGCACATGCATGGTCCTCTATGCTGACCCACACCATCAACTCCCAAGAAAGGACTGTAATCCCCAAAGCATCCCAGACAGACAGACGATGGGCTCAAGCCCCCCTGTGTTTCTAAAAGGCCAGAATGACCCTTTCCCAGACATCATTGTCTTTACACACTTTTCTTGAGTGCTTCAATGTAAGCCCCCCCATACACACACACACACACACACACACACACACACACACACACACACACACACATCTTCTCTTTGGCTCGATCTATTCCCTCAAATACAAGTTAGGTTTCTACTTAGCTGTCTTTGAAGTATAATCAATTTTCACTCTTAAACCCGAAGTTATCAACTACGCACTGAAAAATAATTTTATGGAGAAATGGGAAGGGGTTCATTTGTCTATTCCTGGGCCCCTCTTCTCCACCTTTATTCATGAGGATTATTTAAGCTCCTCAATATTTCTTCACATTTTGAGATGGCCTCCCGTTTTCTTCTCACGCTGAAAACTGAACTACGACTCGCCCACCGAGCCCAGATGAGGAGATTTTTCCATTCTAAAATGAGTCTTTACCCTGCAGGGTCAGGGCTGCAAAAATAAAGGATTTATTCTCTTGTGCCCGATTTTTCACCTCCTGAGCTCTAGAAAATTCCACCTGTCAGACAAGCAGTCTTATGTCTCCGTGGCTTAGTCTTCAGGGTTTGACCAATCCAAGAACAGGCTTTTCCTGGTGGCATGTTAACCTAATCTGCATGTGAACACAAGATCTTACCTCTAAAATCCAAACCCAAACAAGCAAACAACAACAAAACCTTGAAAAAGAAGAGGGCAAGGAGTCCGGCAGGAAGTTGAACAGATACATGTCCTTCCAACCATCAGGTTCTTATCTACAGAATGGGCTGCTGTCTCGAAGGTTTCACAGCCTTTATTAGCCATCATGAGTGTTGAAGGGAAAGGTTGGGGACCTCAGATTGTCCTGTGTGACCAAGAGGCATGACTCTGACTGGTGCTCCGAGGAGCCATCACGGTCTTCTCCTCTCACTACGATTATCTGTGCTTCAGAGTCCCCTTTGTCTCTGGGATTCTGATCTCTTTCATTTAGGAAGATCTTCTCCTAAGAGTCACAGGATTAAGCCCCTGACATATTGACACAGTGAACCCTCATTCACTCACTCAGGAATCCCATAAAAACACTAAACTGGAAGCCATAAAAGGATCTGTAGGGTTTAAAAATAAGGAAGAAAATAAATGAATGAATGAATGAATGAATGAATGAATGAATGAATGAATGAATGAATGAATAAAATAAAAATAAGATGGTTCAGTGGTTAAGAGCACTGGCTGCTCTTCCAGAGGACCTGGGTTTAATTCCCAGCACCCACAGGGCAGCTCACAACTGTCTGTGACTCTGGTTCCAGTGATCTGATGCCCTCTTCTGGCCTCTGCAGGCAGTGCGTGCACATGCTGCATAAATAAATCTAGTAAATAAATAAAAATAAAATAAAAAATAATGAAAAAAAAATGCCCCGACATGACACTATGAGACAAGGAACCTCCAGTTCATTTCTGTTGACTATCTACTGCGGCGCATGCAGCCTACACTTGAGAGTACTGTGTTTCCTGGTGAGACTCCCTTGGAGAAAACTAAATTTTCATTATCAATTGGATACAGCTTCTGGGGTAGGGATGGGGGCCATGTATCTACTTCTCCTTTTAGCTCTAGGACCCCAACTGATATAGACTTGTGCAGGCCCTGTGTGTGCCGCCTCAGTCTCTGAGTTCATATGGGCATTGGTCCTGTTGATTTAGAGGGCCTTGTTTCCCTGGTGTCCTCCATCCCCTCTGGCTCTTACACTTTTTCCACCTTCTCTTCTACAGGGTCCCCTGAACCCTGAAGGGAGGGATTTGATAGACATCCCTTTTAGGGATGAGTCTTCCAAGGTCTCTCTCTCAATGCATAATGTGTGGCTGTGGGTCTCTGTATTTGTTCCCATCTGCTGCAGGAGGAAGCACCTCTGATGATGTCTGGGCAGTGCACTGATCTATGAGCATAGTGGAATGTCATTAAGGGTCATTTTATTGCTCTATTCCTTTAGAACAGTAGTATTTGGTTTTACCCTAGGTCCCTGGGCTATCTAGTCTCAAGTTCTTGGTCTCCCAAGCAGTGTTGGGTATGGGATCCTTATTGATGAGTCAAGTCAAGTCAGATATTGGTTGGTTACTCCAAACTTTGTACCACCATTGCACTAGCATTTTTGTTTGTTTGTTTTTGAGACAGGGTTTCTCTGTGTAGCTTTGTGCCTTTCCTGGAACTCACTCTGTAGCCCAGGCTGGCCTGGAACTCACAGAGATCCGCCTGGTTCTGCCTCCCAAGTGCTAGGATTAAAGGCGTGTGCCACCACCGCCCAGCAATTTCATTTTTTTAATGGCTGAGTAATATTCCATTGTGTAGATGTGCCACATTTTCTTTATCCATTCATCTGTCGAGGGGCATCTAGCTTGTTTCCATCTTCAGGTCCTGTGTACCAGTCCTGTTGTGTTTAGAAGGTCTTGTCTCCTGGATGGTCTCCATCCCCTCCGACTCTTAACACAGCAGCATTTCTGGCAGCAACAAACATGGTTGAGCAAGTGCCTTTGTGGTCAGATGAAACGTCCTTTGGGTATAAGCCCAAGAGTGGTCTAGCTGGATCTTGAGGCAGATCCATTCCCATCTTCCTGGAACTGCCACACTGATTTCCACAGTGGCTGTACAAGTTCAAGCTCCCACCAGCAATAGATGAGTGTTCCCCTTACTCCATAGCCTCGGCAGCATGAGCTGTCACTTGTGTTATTGACCTTAGCCATTCTGACAGCTGTAAGATGGAATCTCAGAGTCGTTTTGATTTGCATTTCCCTGGATGACTAAGGATGTTGAAATTTCTTTAAGTGTTTCTCCACTAGTTGAGTTTCGTCTTTTGAGAATTCTCTGTTTTGATTTGTACCTCATTTTTATTGGGTTATTTGTTTTCTTGATATTCAGTTCTTCTTGTTTTGAGTTCTTTATGTGTTTTGGAAATCAGCCCTCCATTGGATGTGCGGATGGTGAAGATCCTTTCCCACTTTGTCCTGCTGGCAGCGTTCTTTGTCTTACAGAAGCTTTTCAGTTTCACGAGGTCCCACTTATTGTTGATCTTAGTGCCTGTACTAACAGTGTTCTGTTCAGGAAATCTTTTCCTGTGCCAATGAGTTCAAGGTGATTCCCCACTTTCTATTCTATCAGGTTCAGTGAATGTGATTTTATGTTGAGGTCTTTGATCCATTAGGAGTTGAATTTTTTTGCAGGGTGATAAGTATGGATCTATGTGGATCCTTCTACATGTAACATCCAGTTTGACTAGCACCATTTGTTAAAGACACTGTCTTTCTTCCAGTGTGTCTTTCTGGCTTCTTCATCAAAAATTACATGTCTGTAGGTATGTGGATTTATGTCTGGGTTTTCAATTTGATTCTGTTTATGAATGTGTCTGTTTTTGTGCCAATACCATGCTGTTTTATTGCTGTAGCTCTGTGCAATTTTGAGGACAGGAATGATGATATCTCCAATACTTGTTTTAGTATTCAAGATTGTTTTAGCTATCCTGGGCTTTCTGTTCTTCTATATGATGCTGAAAATTGTCCTTTCAAGATCTGTGAAGAATTGTGTTGGAATTTTGATGGGGATTGCATTGAATCTGTAGACTGCTTTTGGTAGGATGGTCATTTTTACTATGTGAATCTTATCAGTCCTTGAGCATGGGAAATATTTCCATCTTCCGACATCTTCAGTGACTTAAATTACTATACAAGTCTTTTGCTTGCTTGATTAGAGTTACCCCAAGACATTTTTATATTATTTGTGGCTATTGTGAAAGGTGGTGTTTCCCTGATTTCTTTCATAGTCCATTTGTCATTAGTATATAGGAGGGTATGGTAGTTTGAATGTCATTGGCCCCCATAATCTCATAGGGAGTGGCACTATTAGGAGGTGTGGCTTCATTGGAGTGGGTGTGGCCTCGTTGGAGAAAGTATGTCACTGTGGGGGCAGGCTTTGAGGTTTCCTATGCTCAGGATACCACCCAGTATCTTTTTCTACTCTCTGTTGCCCAAGATGGAGGACTCTCAGCTACAACTCCAGCACCACATCTGCCTGCATGCCGCTATGCCCATCCCAACACCACCCCCGCCATGATAATAATGGACTAGACCTCTGAAACTGTAAGCAAGTCACCCCGGTTAAATGTTTTCCCTATAAGAGTTGCTGTGGTGATGGTGTCTCTCCACGGCAATAAAAATCCAAACTAAGAAAGAGGACTACAGCCAGGGCTTTCTACTGGAGGACCCCAGAAGTGGAAGTTCCTGTGAAGCAAAGTGTGGCAAGAGAGGGATTCAAGGCGATTCTGCTCCACCTGGATTTGGTCTTGTTTTGCTGTCTTTTCTTCACTGGTTGGTGTTGTTTGTCTTCCTAACTAAGCAAAGCCGCGTTGTGTGGCCATCAGAGACACAGCCACACAACTGTGTGCTGCCGTGAGTTAACCTGTGGCCCAGAGCATGCATCTGATTTCAGAAGACCTGTTGAGGCCACCATCCCCTGGTTCACCACAGCCTCCCGCACTCCCCATTGCTCTCTCTGTACACTTGGCAGCACGGCCCTCCTTGTTATTTTGGGTTTGCGATTCTATTATTGAGACGACAGCAGCTTCCTACAGACCTCGATTGCTGGCAGCGGTGTAAGTATAGAAAGAGAGAATAAGAAAATGCAGAAGCTTGCACACCAGGTAGTTCTATTGGTGGACATGCCTGCAACACAAGCCTGTGAGCATGACTTTGCATCCTCATTGACCTACAAAAAAAGCTGGGAGTGAGGCTTGAGAGTATGGCTCAGAGGCTAAGGCAGAACATGGACTGCTCTTGCAGAGGACCCAAGTTTGGTTCCCAGCCCTCATATTGGAAGGCTCACAACTGCCTTTTACTCTAGCTCCTTGGGCGTCCAATACCTCTGGCCTCCTTGAGATCACAAACCCATACACAGAGACAGGGAATTCCTGGCCAGTCAGCATAGGGAAATCAATGAGCTTCAGGTTCAGTCAGAAATAACCTGCCTCAGATAGATAGATAGATAGATAGATAGATAGATAGATAGATAGATAGATAGATAGATAGATAGATAGATAGATAAATCAGTGAGTGAGTGAATGAATGGATGGATGGATGGATGGATGGATGGATGGATGGATGGATGGATGGATGAATGAATGAATGAATGAATGAATGAAGATGGGAGCGGGAGAGATGGCTCAGTGGTTAACAGCACTGCTTGCTCTTCCAGAGGACCCAGGTTTACTTCCCAGCACCTGTGGGGGCCCACAGAGGCTCCCTAGTAAGGCCTTACTCAAGGTCAGAAAGTCTGAGCTTGCTTTGCCCAGCAGGGCTGCATATGGGATGACTTGGCCAAAGGTGTGGTTACCAGGTGTTTTGAAGGGTCTACACTTGTTGATACTTTACACCTCGACCTTGAGAGGAAGATATCTTTTGTTCCTCCCCTTGCTGATGTGTAAAAAGCCCATCATGATTAAACCCAGGGCAACTGGGTATTGACCCAAGACCC